CACTCCTGACTCCATTCCCAGTTCCCAGCAGCCTGCTAAGAGGAAATCTTATGAGCAGCTGGAAATAGTAGGGCCTTGCACAGTAGCTCCAGGGAGACATTGGCCAAGACTTCCTGTGTTTATGTGTGTAGGTAAAATGTCACAGTCAGTGCAAGTGGATGTGTGTGTGTGCATGTGTGTTTGGGTGCCCTGGTTAGGCAAACACCATATCTGACATTTGCATGCCTTACCCTTGTCCCTTGAGTCACTGCTAATGTGTATGAATGTGTGTCTGTCCCATATGTGTGAACTTCTTTGTGGGCACCACCTGGACTCTGTTGCACCTCGGGCACATGTGCAAAGGTTGGATGCTGTTGGAGGAAGGGATAGCTCATGGTACCTGGGTGAGCCAGTGTCTGTGTGACCTGGCAAGGATGTCCCTGGGTTCCCACGGATGCTGGTATGTGTAGATAATGTCTGTGTGTGTTTGTGGGCACACCTTCACACGTATGTGGACTTCCCATGTGTCTGAGGGTGTCTCCAGGCTGTGTGTAGGAGGCTGTGCTTCTCAGCCTGGGTCTCCTGCTGGTATGTGTTGAGTACGGTAGCGTGTGGCAGGAAGGGTCTGTCTACACGGGTCTGTATACCGCTTTCCATGTGAATCCCGAGTGAGCAGGCCTGGAGGCTGGCCTCTGGAAACATATAACATAAATTAGTCGCTGAATATGTACATCAGCCAGACATGAGTGCTGCGGTCTCTGGGCTTGAGCTCGGCAGGAGCACACGTGTGTTTATTTGTGTCCAGTCCCTCTCAGAGCTTTGCAGTCTCCCCAGCCACATCAGCTGCCACTCACTCTTCCCACCTCATTTTCTCTCTGCTGGAGCTGTTTTCAACTCCCAAGCCCTGCCTGCCCCTGCAACCCCAGCCAGAAGCTGCAATGCAGGGCTGACTTGGTAACAGACTGGATCCCTCCTATACCTCCAAGGAGTTTTGCAGAACTGCCTGGGGCCTACCACTCAGAGGACTCTGGGATGACATCAGAGAAGAGGAGGAGAGAGGAAAGGACCATGACCAGGTCAGCACATTTACCAAGCAATGGACATGCACCTTCACAATGAAGAGGTCCGTGATACACCAAACCCACATTTTACATTAGTGATCCCCCTAGAGGAACAGCCCACCTGCCGGCTTGGATATCAGCCTTCTGGGATTTTGTTTTTGAGACAGTCTTAGCCTAAGCTGGCCTTGAACTCACAAAGCAGCTGAGGATGGCCCTCTGGTCTGTCCTTCTGCCTCTGCCTCCCGAGTGCCAGGATTACAGGCGTGTGCCAGCATGTCTGGTTTATGCAGGTCTAGGGTCTAGGGATGGAGCCCAGCACTTTGTGCACGCTAGGCAAACACTCCCCAAATGAGCTCACTCACCATTTGCTCCCTACAAATCAGCCTGGCACCCGGCCCACAGGATTCCTCTCACCAACCTTCATCCATGACCAGACATGTCAGGAGCAACCAGAAGCTCAATCACGCCGGCCACATGGCCAAAAGAATAGGACCAAGATAGAACAGCAGGGTTGGAATGCTGGCTGTTAGATAGAACCCTGGAGCCAACACTTGCCTCTCTATATAACGGCAATCGCCAGTCAGTGAGGGGTTTCCTCTGGACCCTTGTGAGTGGCATCTGTCATTCACAGTTGGAAACCTAGTAGGGTGTCTTGGCTCCCCACTCCCTACCTGTGCAGTGGGAAATATGATCATGCCTTCCTGTTCCCCCAAAGTAGCACCCGACGTAGTAACACTGGAGGGCTAAGGAAACCCACCCTCCTAGTTCCTCCCAGTTCCTCCAATAACCAACACTCAGACATCCTGTCTGCTCATTGGCTCAGAATCATAACAATTCCTCACGAGACAAAAGGACTTCACTTAGGAGATGTTTTCCTGACTGTACACCTCTCCCTGACTGCTGAAAACAATCCCTGGAGACGGTCCAGGCACACCCTACCATCTCCATTAGACAGATGAAAAACACAGCAGTTCAGAGAGCCCTGCCACATGTCCATGACCACACAGTAAGTGGTAGACTCAGGTCTCACAGCCAGCTCTTTGAGCTCCACATGGCACATGGGCAACAGTTAGTGGTCAAAGGAACCTTAGGTCACTGAGGCTTTCAAAGTCAAGCACAGTCAACCTGACTAAAGTCTTATTTCTGGGTCCTGAAAACCCCCACAGATTGCCCTCAGGCACCTTGACCAGAAGGGATCCTCGTCAGACATACTACAGCCACCCGCCTTCTTCAGTTGCTCCCCAGTGATCATAACCAACATTTGGGCTGTTTACACAATGCTCTGCACAAGCCCAATGCTTGTACTCAGGCCTCTCTCTGGATAGTTCCAACGGCACCAAGCTCACCACCTTCCCCGGAGAAGCACTTTCTGTCTTATTACTGGCAGAGCCTGTACCACTCTCACTTGGGCCCCAGAGCAAGGCTTCCCTTCTTGGTTGTCAGGTACCCCTACCCGGACACCTCTAGCGCAATGGAAGGGGAAGGGGAACCGAGCCACCCGGAGTCCTGGGCATTCCCTTCAGTTCATGCCGTCAGTCTGCAGTAGATGTGCTGGGGATTTGGAGTCACTTTCTTCCTTACCCAATTTCTGCACCTCAGATGTAAAGCAGTCTGGAGAGGCAGGAAACACACAGGAGGCTGATGCTCCCTCACTCCCTGTTTTGGCTGCCTGGAGCAAGTGTGGGTACTGCCCTAATGCATGCAAGAGCCGGCATGGCTCCCTTCCCTGCCCAACACTTTCCCAACTTGATTGTAGTGTTCTACTACAGACCCTTATTCTGCTGGCTCCATCCTCAGCTCCTGGCCTCCCCAAGTCCCTAGCCCCATCTCCATGTGCTCTGGGCACAATTAGCCATCTCACCCTTATCACCAGCCATATTGTGTTTTGTTGCAACTATTGTTTAAGGCTGGTCTCTCCAGATGCTCTGCCTAGGTCACAGTTACACCCCCAAATCTGCACTGTGCTGCTAAGCTCTAAGCAAACAGCGAGTGAATGGATGGATGGATGGATGGATGGATGGATGGATGGACGGACGGACGGACAGGATGGATGGATGGACAGATGGATTCAAAGTCACGAGGAAGAGCCCAGCCTGCTCCCACAGAATCCACAGAAGAACGTGACAGACGCACAAGGAAACACGTTCTCCATCCCGAGAGCAGCAAGTGATATCAGGCTAGGAATCTGATAGAAACGTACAATGTGCCAAGTGCTCCAGCTACATGCACATTTAATCTTTAAGGATGATCTGTAACTGTTTAACTCAGTTCCAAACACGGGAAGTAAGGTGCCCAAGACCACACAGAGAAGAAGCTACAGATCCAGCAGTGACCCAGAGCTTGTATCGAAGACTCCAGCACTGAATGGATGGTAGAAACCCAGGCTCAGCCTGACCCCAAACTGAAATGTCCCTGGGTGGGTCCTGGTCTCAACCCCTGGGGCTGCTTTCCCAGGCATGTTCATGGGAGGCTTCAGATAGAGGTCAGGGCTCTGTCTGACCACTTCCTGGCAGCAAAGGAAGGGATTCAGGATGAGAACAGGATGAAATCAAACCAAGAACTACAAGTTGTCCTCATTTGCTGGAGTGAGGAACTCAGGTCCAGGTCTGGAGTAGCTCAGGCTGGGATGCAGGAAGCTGCGAGGGGCATCTAGGAGGCTGCCTCCATCCTTCCACCCCCACTCTTCTTACCACTGACTTCAGAAAGACTCCACAGGCTGACCCAACCCCCGATTCCACAGCCTTTGCCAAGACTCATGCTCCCATGTCACAGAAAAAGAATGGAGGCCTGGCCTGGGGAAGGTTCAGGCTGGGAGCCGAGACGATCGTTTCTCGGATGGACCTGTGCTCTCTAGTGTACAGGAGATTACTGAGAACACACGGGACTGAGGATGCAAAGCAAAGCAAGAGCGACGCCCTGACACGCTTAGGAGCAAGAAACCCTCCTAGACGGTAGAACCAGGTGGCAGTTAAGTGCCGCAGGGCAGACATGTCATTAGAGTGCTGTGAACTCCATGGCTGCTGGTCAGGCCACTCTGGCTGTTGTGCCAGGCCTTCAACCTACAAGTGCAGGCAACACTGCTGTCTCTTCCAGCAGTGGCAGTACAGCCCCTGAAGATTCCAGCTTCCCACACCAAGGTCAAGAAGCCAGGGCAGGGCTATCCCCATAGCTGCCACCGCGTCACAGAACAGGCAGCCAGAGCATGGCTGCACCTAGGTGCCCAGGCACAGCCGGTTGTTTTTCCCAGGCAGCTCTCCAGTCCCAAAGGGAATGCCCCTATCCACGAGGGCAGCTTCCCTCCTCACACATGTCTGCCCAAGTCTCTCTCAGAAGGGACAGAAGACAATATCCTGGGATTGAGGAAGTGGCCTCTGAACCAGTTCTCCCACGACATCATCCTCTCAGGCTGTGGGACCGTTAGACTGGGCGGAAGTGGACTCCAGCCAAGGGGATGTTCCCAGATGTCATGCTTTCAAACCGGTCCCGCCCCAAAAGGCAGGCGAGGACAGGCCTGCCGGGGAAGCCCTGGGTAAAAGACTTAGGATGGTATTCTGGCTCTCTTTGCCAGAGGATAGCCACGGTTTCCTTGGCAGCCAGACACACTAATGTTGGCCACAGAAAGGAGAGCCTGCTGACCTGGGTCGGGATCCCAGACTAAAGCAGAGGTCAGCAGAGACTGACTAACCCCCGCCCCCCAACACTTACCGAGCAACCTCCAGGGCAGTTTTACCGGGGGAGGAGGAGAGGGGGTGCACATCGGGGCCCTTTAGTCGGTGTCTTATTCAAAATACCCCTCAGGAGAAGAGTAGCAAAAGGAGGTGGGGCACTCTCTCCCAGCTTATTCAGTATTAAAGCGGCCGGCTGTGGCCTCAGGGCCTCAGGCCCTGGGGCGCTTGAGCCAGGATGGTAAGGTCCTCCTCCCCCAAACCCTTCGACTCCCCTTTCCCGCTAGGTCCTCACCTTGAGATAGTCGTTCTCGGAGCGCAGCTCTTCCAGCTCCCGCACCAAGCCGCCGGGCCCGCAGTCCAACATCTCCTCGGTGAGGTCGGAGAAGGCGAGCGAGGCGCTGAGTGGCAGGCGACTGCTGCCCACCGACGAGGCGGCCACCGACGGCTCATCCGGGGAGGTGGGCGGCCGCGGAGGCTGCTGCCCCGACGGCGCGGGCTGGGGTTGCTGCCCGGTGCGGGTCCCCGCCGGGCCACCCGCCGCAGACTCGGCGTCGCTGCTCAGCGCCAGCTCCAGGCTCAGCAGGCGCGCCTCCTCCGACGCGCAGTCCGACACCTCGGAGCTGCTGTCGGTGAGGCTGGGCGGCGGCGGCGGCGGGCGCGGCCCGGTACCCGGACGAGGGCGGCCCTTGGCGCGGACCCCCGTGCGCACCCCGGCCACCCGCGGCCCCGCGCCCCGGGTTCCGGGCGTCACCGCGCGCCCCTTCTTGTCTGGCCTCGCCGAGGACGCGGCGCCACAGGCTGCAGCGGCGCCCGGGCCTGTGCCACGGCGGCCCTTGGCCAGAGACCAGCCGGCCACGTCCTTGGGCCGGGCTGGCGACGGCGCGCGGTGGCTCTTTTTCCTTTCCGTGGGGGGCGCGGGTGCAGGCGGGGGGCAGTTGCCCCGCGCCGATGACTCTCCCGCTGGCGCCTCCATCGCGGCCTCCCCGGCTCTTAGCGAGCGGCGCGCATGGCCCGGGAGCGGCCGGTCTGGGGGTCCCTGCGGCGGGTCCCGGATGCGCTCCCGCTGCTCAGGCCGCGACTGCGCTCCTGCCTCCTGCGTCCGGGGACTGCGCTCGGGCCCTGGCCCGCGCCGCGCGGCCTCTCCGCTACTCGGTGCTCGCAGCGCGCGGCCCGATCTCCTCCAGGCACCGCGACTCCGGCTCCGGCTCCGCCCGGTGCCCGCCCCCTCCGCCTCGCCGCGCCCTCGGAGCGAGCCCGGACCCCGGCTGCCGCCTGGTCGGCGATCGCCGCCTCGGACTCCCAGTCCGGCTGAGGCCAGGGCCCCGGCTCCGCCCGGCGCGGCCCGCCCCCCACGCAGCCCCGCCAGTTCCCCGCCCCGCCGCCTCGGCTCGGGGGCGCGCGGCTCGGCGAACAAAAGGCGGACGCGGCGGGAGCAGCGGGGAGGGACGCGGGCGGGGAGCGAGGGAGGAATCCGCGAGGCAACAGCGACCCCCTCGAGGGTCAGGCAGGCCCGGGCAGCCGCGGCCTCGGCTCGCCCGGGCAGCTCCTGGCCACTGGCCGCTCCCCTGCGAGCTGGGGGATCGCACCCGGCCGTGGATCCTGGGAGTCTGGCGTCGCCGTGGGGGCCTCGTGGACGGCAGGAGAGGATATTTCCTGGCAGAGGCCCCGCGGACCTCAAAGGGCCGGAGCCAGCAGCATCCATGCACACCCAGCACCGCGCCGCGCGCCCCTTGCGGGTGCTGAGCCTGCGCGAACTCCGCCCCCTTTATCTGGGCATGACAAACGACCCCATCCTATAGAACGGTAAACTGAAGCATGACCAGGCACGCGGTCGGCTCTTGGTCAGCGGAGGAAGGAACCAGGGTGGATGGAGCCCGAACCCCATGTCTCCAGAGTGTACTGGACTCCTCCTGCCTCTGCTTCCTTACCGCTGTCATAGTGACCCCGCGTGCATACTGAACTCTGCGTACCCTGACCGTCTGCTATGGCAAGCAAGAGTCCTGCCTCCCCACCCCAGTTTCAAGGTCTTTCCGATGAAACTTCAGGCTGTGCCTTATCGATGCCAGACCATTGGATGCTTGGGAGATGGAGGCAGGTTCTGGGCCGAATGGAGGCTGGCGTGGCCTGAAGACTGTGTGTCTCTGAGTCCTACAGACCCTAGTCCTGGTGGGCGTGGTTTCTTTCCTAACCGTGGTTTTTTTTTTTTTCCCCCTTAACCGAGTAGCTAACTTTTCAGGGTTCCTATACTTCACTTCTGCCTTCCCCTACAGCCCTCACCATGTAGGAACTTCTCTCTGGTCGCATTTTCCGAAAAAAAAAAAAAAGCACGTGGATATACATTCCAATTGCTTTATTATTAATGTGTGTGTCATGCATGCCTGCACATGTGCAGGTGCACACATGCCACAGTGCACATGTGAAGGTCAGAGGACACCTTTCAGGACTTGATGCTCTCCATCCAACCAATCGATCTTCTCACACTTCCAACAGCCACAGGGTCTGCTTCCTGCCCTTCAGCTGGGTAGAAGACCTCTGTGACATGGCCTCTCTCTCTCTCTCTCTCTCTCTCTCTCTCTCTCTCTCTCTCTCTCTCTCTCTCTCGTGTGCTCTCCTCTCTCTATTGCTCTTGCTCTTCATTCATCCTTGGTATCCAAGCGACATGTGGAGAGGAAGTTTTGGTCTCATGAGGCGGCCACGTGAAGGCGGTCCAGCCAACAACTCCAGCCCTAGTCCCCACTGGCCAGCCGACCTGAGAGCTGACAGATCCTCCACAGGCAGCCTGGAGTCACCCAGTGAGGAGTGGAGCAGAAGGGGATTCTGTCACCAGCCCTGCCCAAATTACAAAGCAAAGCACCCGCGTGCACAGTCAGGGGCATACAGCGTGGCAATGGCCTGGCTCGGGTTGTTTGACCACAGGCTGTCTTATTCCAACACCCTCTACGAACTGGTTGTCTGAAGCACCCAGTGGGTGCTGTAAAAACTGCTGATCAAGGAAGAAGCATTCAGTGATAGCTTTACTGTCAGGTCGTTAGAAACAAAGGGGACAATGACCCCAGAGCTCTCCCATTCAAGCTGTTAAATTGACCGAGAGGGTGGAAAAAATGGAAGCCAACTCCTGGAAGGCTTCCAAGAGGAGGTGTCCCTTTCTAACTAAAGTGAAGGTTGTTTTCATCCTACAAATCATGAAAGAAATAAGCCACTGGTTCGGGGATGAGAGGGAAACCCCCCCTGAACAGGGTTATCTGGGAACCCTCTCTGAGGAGGTGGCCTGTATGCCGAGTTAGCCAAAGGGCCTGGGAAGAGAATCTGGGGCAGACTGAAGAACAAGGGCAAAGTCCCTGGAGGAGGAGAAAGTGTGACAGATGCTGGGGAAGGGGGGGGGTAGTGTGGCTGGAGCCCCCTGGAGACAAGGAAGGAAAAGACAGAGTGGAAAGCAGGAAGCAGGCAGACGTAGGCAGGGGATTATCACTGATGCAGAGACAAACGCTGGAAACTTGCAAGCAGGAAGTCACACCATCTAGTTACGTCCGGAAGTAGATTCCCTTCTCTGACAAGTCCAGATGCTGGCTCTGGGAGCTAAGAGAGCTCGGAAGCCATGGAGAAAGGATGGTTCTGTTTGAAGATCCAGTCACTCTTGGCTGGAAGAGAGGACTCAGAGAAGTGATGTCAAGTTCTCTCCCCATCACTGCTCTAGAGAACAAACGACAGCACCATCTGCTTTAGCGGGACGGACAGGCCGCTAGGTGTCAGAGGGCAAGAGAGACTCAGTTCATAGGACATGTGGGTTTGAAGCATCGGTGGCGATGTCCAAATAGAGACCCAGGAAAGCAGTGGCACAGGCATGCGAGGTCATGCCAGCAACAAGATCTGGAGGAGTCAAGAAAATGTTCACCTTGGAGAGCTGGAGATGTTGCTCAGTTGGTGGCATGTTCGTTTAGCATGCACAGGGCTCTGGCTTCCATCTCCAGCATCACATAAAACCAGCCGTGGTGGTCCATGCCTCTGTAATCCCAGAACTCAGAAGGTGGAGGCAAGAGGACCAGAGTTTCTACGTCATCATAGGCTACATAGTGTGTCTGAGGCCAGATTGGGCTACAATGAGACCCTGTCTCAATAAAAGAAAAGATTCACTTTGAAACTGGAGAAAGTTACTCAGGGACAGGGTCTGGGGAGAGGAAAGCTGGTCCAGAACCAGAAAGTTAAGCATTTCTGGCTCAAGAAAACAGTCAAAAGAAGAGAAAGTGGTCCCTGCCAAAGCCAAGGAGTCGGGCAGGTTGAGAGGAAGGGGCCTCACAGTGTAGAGGTGAGGGGACAGAGCCACAGGACATGACAGAGTGAGAAGAAGTAGAGTGTAGGGGAAGTGGCATGCTCACGGGAGACCAAGGGATCAGCAAGGAAGAGGAAGCAGAGTCAGGAGAGTAGAGGGAGCCAGCTTGGCTTCGGAAGGGCAGGGCACACCCTCCACCAGCCCTTAGGAAGGCAGAGGAAGATGGGCCAACCAGCAGAAGACATCAGCTGGGGGGCGGGGTTGAGGATGATGAAATCTGGATGCAAAAGTGACCTCAGAAACTGGAAACTGACTTCCCAGTGTGCCTGCAGGAGTGGTCACACTGACTCCACACCCAGCCGGGGGTCAGAGAATAGCCCGGTGGGGCCTGGTGAACTTGTGTTCTCTTGGTCCTCTCTCTCTCTCTCTCTCTCTCTCTCTCTCTCTCTCTCTCTCTCTCTCTCTCTCTCTCCTCCCCCCCTTTATCTTATGTTGCTAAAATCATACTGAATTTTAGATTCTGCTCTTATCAGAGTAGAGAAAACATTCCCTCACATTCCGAACCCCTTGGCAAGCCTGTTTTCACAACTGAAAATAATCCCCAAGAGAGGGTGCTCCACGCCCATTCACCTTTCCCTCTACTGTATACTTAAACTCTTCCTGGAGGTGCTAAACACATACGATTCCCACATTTAGGAGGTGAAGGCAGGTGGACCAAGAGTTCGAGGCAGGGACTGGAGAGATGGCTCACGCTTGTTGCTCGTGACTCAGGTTCAGTTTTCTGTACACACTTGGTGACTCACAGCTGTCTGTAACTCTAGGCCTAAGGGATCCGATACCCACTTCTGACCTCCTGGGCATCAGGCACAAATACGGTGAAGGTACAGACAAGCGGGCAAACACTCATACCTATGCAATAAAATAAATACCCCCCCATACACACAAAATCTCAAGGCTTCACAGTGAATTAATTCTAGGTCGGCCTTGGCTACAGAGCAAAATCCTCTCTCGAGGGGGGCTGGAGAGATGGCTCAGTGGTTAAGAGCATTGCCTGTTCTTCCAAAGGTCCTGAGTTCAATTCCCGGCAACCACATGGTGGCTCACAACCATCTGTAAAGAGGTCTGGTTCCCTCTTCTGGCCTGCAGACATGCACAGAGAGAGAATATTGTATGCATAATAAAAAAATAAGAAAAATCCTCTCTCGAAAAAGCCAAGACTGGGGACATCCATCAATATAGATCAAATAGCTTGCCCGGCATGCTAAGGCCCTGGGTTCAATTTTCTGCACAAGACAGAATAAAAGTCATTCCTGGGGGTGAAGGTTGTGTTCTGAAAGGAGCTGAGCAAGGTCTGGTGGAGGAGAAAAGTTGAAGGGGCTGCAAGTGATCTGACGGTGGCATCTCTTAAGGGGCTGTGACCCTGCAAGGGACAGTCCTGTTCAATGACACACTGAATCTTCCAGACATGAGGATGGGGCAGCAAGGCAAACACATTGGTCAGTCATAGAGCTTGGTGCTCAGGTGTTAAATGTGGGAGGAAAAGGGGACTACAAAAGGCAATGGGGGAGGCAGAAGCAGGAAGCCTGGTCAACAGAGTGAGTTCTGGGACAGCCAGGGCTACATAGCAAGACCCTGTCTCAAAAAAACAAAAATGAAAAAGAGAAAGGAACAGAGTGAAGGGAGGAGGAAGCAGCAGACCTGTGACCATGCGCTGTTTACAGCTCAAACACCCATTGCAACAGCCATGTTTGAGGTGACAACAGGGCCCTTCACTTTCCTGTTTTCCCTATAATACAGGTCCTGGAGGGAATGAGGCCCAAGTCACCTGATGGTCAACAGGACAGTCTTCTAGCAGTGTACCCACTGTGTGCCAGACACTGTGTGGGCTTCCTGTGAGACACCTTGTCAAATGTCTCCAGGTCAAATGTACCCCAGGCCAAAGAGGAAAGTTCTTATCCCGCCTGGGAAGGAATCACCTACAGCTTGGGGTGACTCGTGGGGAACCCTCAGGATAGCCCTTTCTTGTGTCAATTGCATGTCACAGATTCTAACCTCAATTTAGAGGACTGACCTCCATGGCGGGCATCAGGCAACCAGTGGTATTTAGGAGCCAGTGAGAAGGAGGTTGGAGACACAAAATCTGGTATCTTCTCCCCCTCTTTCAGCTGATGGCGATGGAGTTTGGGACCCACGGGATCGACAAGGTCTTGTTAGTGTGTTTGTGCGATTTGAGTTTCTGATGTACGGTAATCATTGGCACCTTCTCAGTTGGAACTGGCCTGGCATGGGGCCAGGGCCTGCTGCCTTGGGGCAGGTATAAGAAGCAGGGAGAAGGGCTGGAGCAGGGCCAGGCAGAGACACCAGTCACACAGAGAGGACAGGAGTTGGGACCAGAGTTACCGTGTCCAGACAGCGAGGTAGATAGGTCATTTTGAGTGTGACCTCTTTGAGGGATTGGGGAGACCATCGGAGGGTCATCAGGGATTGTTGGGGTGAGTACCTTCAGCCACCCTCTTCCCCAGCACCCGGGTTTCCCTTCCCCCACTGCACCTCAACTTATTTGATTGAGGATCCCAAGTGGAGGCCAAGTGGCCTCTTGCCAGGGAGTGGACACTGGATTTCTCCGAGAGGCATTTATCCAGATGCATCGAACATCAGGTGCTACGGGTTCCCACACAGAACTCAGCACAGAAGAGGGAGGATGGAAGCTCAGCATCCTGATTCTCAGGGCATTATCTTCATTCTCTCCAGATAGATGCTTGTGTGCTTACAGATGAGGAGTGTGTGGGAAAACCTGCCCAAGGTTGCTTAACTAAATAAGGGGTAAATCTCTCTCTTCCTCTCCCTCCCTCCCTCCCTCCCTTCCTCCCTCCCTCCCTCATCCTCTCCCTTGCCCCCCTCCAATCTCTTCTCTTCCTCTTCCCGTTTTCCCAGGTCCTTATGCACACTGGGAGTAAGCTACCCTGGAGGGGAGGGACCTGTGTTGGGTTGAGAGTAGAGATATGTGGGGGGGTTGTGATTCTATAGTCTGTGCTCTTTTTCTCTCCCTCCCTTCCATCCCTTTTCCTCCCTTCATTTCCTTTTCTCCTCCCTCTCCTTCCTCCCTCCCTTCCTCCCTCCCTTTCCCTTTCTTTCTCTTTATCCTAGAAATTGGATTCAGGGCCTCATGCAGGCTAAACAGCCCCTACTGCTGAGCCACACCCATGGGAAAACCCGTATCCTTCAAAGGCTGGCTCTTTTGTCCCGGCATGCCCCTTCAGGCTTTTGCTACACATAGAGCAGCTCCTTGGCTTTGAGAGGACATGAATTGCTGGCTGCCAGTCCTGGAAAGCCTTCTGAGGTTTCTGGTCCAGCGGGTTAAATGTTATATAGCGGGGCAGTGAGGTGGCTCTGTGGGTGAGCATGCTTACCATGCAAGCCTGATGACCCAAGTTCAATTCTTTAACCCACGTAAAGGTGGAAGGCGGGAGGTGACTTCCGGTAGTTTCCCTCTGGCCTCCAGACATGCGCCTTGGTTGGTTCAGACCCATAGACACATTTTTTTTTTTTCAAGACAGGGTCTCATTGTGTAGCCCTGGCTGACCTGAAACTCTATATGAAGACCATGCTGGCCTTGAACTCACAGAGCTCTATCTGCTTCTGCCTCCCAAGTGCTGGCATTAAATGTGTGCACCACTGCTCCTCGCTTAATAATTTTTAAATATTACATACTGGGAAATTGAGGCTTGGGGTGCAAATGATTTTATTTTCAGCTGCTCATGGAATTGGGGTCCTGGATCCCTAGTTTGGGCCATAGGTATTCAAGGAAAAAAATCAGTGTGTCTAGGCTAGACCGTTAGAGAAGAAACTGAAGTGGCCAGAATTCACAACTGGAATTTACTGTGTATGATGACTCCCATGTAGTTGATGCCCATGAGGCCTTGAATGTGGAGCGGCTCACAGACCCACCCAGGGGCCATTTGGTCTGGGGCTCACAGGTGAGCGGGAGCAAAGGGCAGCTGAGTAGGCATGGAGCCAGTGGGGAGTGCCCAGGCACCTATTCATCCCTGGCTTTGCCTTGCAGCATTTCCTCCCTCAGGGCCAAGGACCGGCCCCTGTCCTGGGCTGTGATAGGAGAATGAAAAGCCGAAGAAGATGGCGGTACACTCAGCTGGTAAGGGCTCAGCTCGGGCTGGGGATTCACTTGGGAAGGGGGTGGAATCTCCAAGCACGGAGGGGCACGGGCTAGGGTGAAGATGTGTGTGTGTGTGTGTGTGTGTGTGTGTTTGTTTACTTCTCTCAAATTCTTCCCAGCTGGCTGGGGCTTTAAAACAAGGGCTGACTTAGGACCTGGAGTAACCCTAAGGTCCTGATACACTCCCCCCAAGGGGACAGACCACTGCTGTTGTCCCTGTGGGGAGACTATTCCACAGTAAGGATCTCTGCAGGTGTGAACCTGAGTAATGGAGGGGGTAAGGAGGGGGCGTGCTGGGTATTCCTTCCCAGATGGGTGTCTCCTCTTACGATGAACCTTATGTTATTGTGTACAGGCCTGCTCACATGTGTGAGCATACACACTCAAACACGCCATGGTAAAGTCTGGAAGCTCAGTTAAGTGAATGAGAACGACAACACCAGCTTCCGTGCCCACTGATACCCACGCGTGTGTATATAACCCCAGCTCACTCAGAGTGCTCTGACAGCATGCCAAGCTGCCCACACACGTACCTCTATTTCAAGCAACATACAACTCCTGTGGGCGAGCACACACTCTGCGGGGAGCCAAGAGACTGCACACATCTCTTCACTGACTGAAAGTGAGCCCCAGAGCTTCCCCGTATGATATAGAAGTCAGTGGTACCTTCTCAGGGTACAGGGAGAATTCAGAGAGACCCCTCACAGCAGGCTCATCACACAGGCCTGGGCACAGTGTTCTGGACCTTGGTGCCAGCGTCTGCCCTTCTTGTGATCGATTGTTTCAGCCACTACTTTGCATCCAAACACACACAGCTGCAGCAGACCAGACTCCTACCTGCCCTTCTGCCCTCTTCCAGGCTTAGTTTGGAGCCTGGTGCGAGAGCAAACTGGCAACAGATGGTGGTGCCCATCTGAGAGGCACTGTGAGGGCCTTTGCCCACCCCCTTCCTTCATTAGCAATAGCCAGTCAGGAGGAAGCAGGTTGGAAGCAGGGACAGAGTCTTGCTTGTGGTGGGTGCTTCCCCACTCTGCTGGGCTGGGCTGGCAGGGGTCTGGACAGGGGCCAAGGCAGCCCTGGCTTTTGAGCCCAGGATCTGGTGACAGCTGGTACCCCTGTGTCCTTCAATCTTTATATCTTTACAGCCCACCCAGGTGGAGGACACCCTGTCTGGGGAGGAGGGCGAGGAGGAGGAAGAGGAGGAAGAAAAGAAAGAGGAGGATGCAGTTCCAGCCCCGGCTCCTCAGGACCCTGTGGAACCTCAGCTGACAGAAGCCAGCCGGGTCCTGGGCGCCTCAGAGATTAGGCAGGTTCGGGCACATTCTATGTAGTAGGACTTCAGCCCTATCCTAGCCACACCCAGGGGTGATAGAGTCGCAACTACAATGTCCCCAGCTCCGGGTCACCCTGAATCAATCATGCTTTCTCCCTGGACTTCCTGTCCTCTCTAGTCACAACCAGTGCCACCCTTCTCACTGGGCAGAGCTGGGGGACGTAGCAGGGGTGACATGGGTCCTGGGGATTAAAGCCAGACTGGGGTGGAGCAGACACATGGCGGAGTACCAGTGACCGAAGCAAGTTCCCCGAGGTCTGCCCTGGATTGGAATCCTGGCTCTGCCATCTACTCTCCATCTCCCTGAACCTCAGTTTTCTCATCTATGAAATGGGAACAAAGGCTAGCTAATGGCTACGGGGCCTCTGGACAGAGTAAAAGGCTGTGAGGTGGGAGGAGGGAGGGAAGATGGAGGCAGTCCCTTCACTCAGTTCCAGCTCTGCCTCCAGCTCGGTCTCCACTTACCCCCAAGAGTCACTGGCCGCCCCTGGAGTCTGGTCTTCTGCACATCAAAGGACGGCTTCAGTCTGCGGAGGCTGTACCGCCAGATGGAGGGTCACAGTGGACCAGCCCTGCTGGTGTTGAGAGACCAGGATGGGCAGGTGAGCTGGGTCAGGGCACGGGGGCTCCCAACCAGACCAGTGGGTACTGCCCGGGGCAGAGTGAGAAGCACAAAACAGAGATGACAGATTCTATCACCGGTCAGGAACACCGATGGTGGCACAGAGACCTGACCCACTTCAGGCCCTCATTTTCTCATTCGTGTATCTGAAGCCACTTCTGTGTGCCAGGTTAGGTGATGTGGAAGAGTGACATCAAGCCAGAAATGATGCAGAAGGCTGAGCGTTAATGGTCTGATTTCCTGTGTGGGGGTGGGGTGGGGCGGGTAGTGGGGGGCATTGGACAACCAACCACTGAGGCCATGCAAAACTGCATCCTTATGTTTGCAAGCACAAGACCATGGCTGGGCTGCTTTGATTTATTCTGTCTCACTAAAACACAAACTGGCTCAGAACCCTATGTGTAGCCTAGGCTGACCTTGAACTCCAGATGCTCCTGCCTCAGTCTCCTCAGTGCTGAGTACAGGTGGATGTCACCACCTCCGGATCTTGCAAAGGTCGAGCAGGCGATCTACATTTAAATGATGGAGGCATGTTTTGAAAATATCCCCAGCTGATTGGAGGAAGCCAGAGGGATCGGCCAAGGCTACACGCCAAAAGAGGAACTTTGATAGCTCTGCCTGAAGTTCACGTGGCCACTCCAACAATAGAATTTCTGGCAGGTTCTCCATGCAGAAAGTGGGAGGGACTGAGAGCTGGTTTCAAATGCTCCTCTACAGAAGGAACATACCAGAGTTGGAAGAGGTCTCAAGGGTCCCAGCCACCTAGACAGGAGTCTGCCTGGGAAGACTTTGTGCTTGAGAGCCAAGAAACTTACCCTGTTCTGACAGAGCCCCTTCCGTGGTAGAGCACTATGTATTATAAGAAGTTTCTCCTAGCACTAGGCCTAAAGCTGCACCCCACCACCCCCATGTAACACTGTGATGGTCCACACCCCAACCCCAGGAGCCGTCCCACAGATGTCAGACACATAGCAGGCAGGTGAGAAGCAAGATGCAAAACTACAGCCATAAAACGCGTGGTTTTCTCTTTAAAGCCAGAAGTGAGGCACATTCTTGAGCTGATCGGGAACAAATTGAAGATACAACGACATAAATAGATAATACCAGGATTATAGTTCATTCTCTTGGGTGTGATAATGGCACTGGGGTTATATGAGAGTCAGCCCCTTTCTTGGGAGCTGGTGCATTAGGAACGAATGTCATGGTATCACAGTCAAGTGGGCCTAAGAAACTAAAGCCAGTATGTGACTAGAGCAAATTCCCTGTTTGCTCAAAGTCGGAAGGAATCTATACTTGTTTTGAACTTTAAAAGGTGTTTTTTTTTTTTTTTCCCGGTGGTACAGGGTTTCCCCCTTGTACCTTGCATAGGCCAGGCAGATGCTCTACCAACAGAGCCCCAGCCCCAGCCCTTCGCTCTTCTGTACATTTGAAGCTGGTGCAGAAAGCGAGAGGGAGGAGTTTGTGTGGGGTGTCGGGGTATAGAAAAGCCTGTGCACCGGCATGGGGCAGGTGCCAGGAGGAAGCGACAGAAGTCAGCTCGGGGAGGAAGAAGGGGGATTTGACTAAGGCTTACCTCATTTTCTTTCTGCCTGTGTATGATTGCAGCTCTTCAAGAAGCATTGCTTGGATGAAATAAGTATATTTGGAGCTGAGGTGGTAATGGTTCGGTCAGGAAAGTATTTGCCGTGCAAGCGTGAGGACCTGAGTTCAATTCCCAGCTGTCATGTAGAAAGCCGGGTGTGGCAGGATATGTTTGTAACCCCAGTACTAGGAGGCAGACACAGAGGAGCCTGGCGCTTGCCGGACTGCCAGTCTCAATGGTCAGTTCCAGATGTGGTGAAAGCCTGTGGAAGGCAGCAGAGGAGGAGAGTCCTTATCGGCCGCTGGCTTCCATATGCATGGGAAAGTGTCGTGTGTGTGTGTGTGTCTGTGTGTGTGTACACCTATGCACACACATGAACATGGTCACATTCATACAACATGTACATACTTTCTTAAAGGGTAAACTGGACATGGCACATGGCTGTGAAGGCTCTCATGGGGTTAAGTTCTAGGTCAGACTTGGTTACACAGCATGAGCCTGAAGAGGAAAAGATAGACAGACAGACAGAGATGGGGGGGGGATGTAACAAAGAGTCAGAACAACTCAGGGGAGGCCACCAGCAAGGATTCTTCCTGTGGAGTGTGGGAAAGAGGGCAGGCTGGTGGCCTTGGAGATGCCCTATCCCCAGCTTTCCACTCAGCTTCCCCTGGAGTCCTGGAGACTGGGGGTGCATTTTCAAGCCCTGTGAAGGTGGCTGGTGGACACCCAGTTCCTTTCTTGTGCTTTTCTCTGCTTTCCAGATGTTTGGTGCCTTCTCCTCCTCGGCTATCCGGCTCAGCAAAGGCTTCTACGGTACTGGCGAGACATTTCTCTTCTCCTTCGCCCCACAGCTAAAGGTGAGGTTCCCACCTTCTGTCACGGAGGAAGGCTACAACAGGTCACAGCTCTGGGGATCCCAGAGGCCCCCCCAGCTTCAGTCCCCGTGCGGGGTTGCTAGTCCTGTCCACTCCTCCACAGGGCAATGGTGGGCATGGAAGTGTCCTCAGCTGCCCATCAAGATCTCCAGGAGTCATGAGTTGAGCGAGGGAGGCTAGAGAGGACAAGATGGGTTTGAGTGCAGGTAGGACCTGAGGTGTGGGAGGAGGAGGATGCTTCCAATGGCTTCTTGTGAGGTCTGCACATGAAGGCTGGAGGAGAGAGGAGTCACACAGTCCCTGTGTGTGGGAAAGGGGAGCCCCAGAGAGCATGCCAGTCTGGCAGTGGCAGGAAGAGGCCATCTCTGCCTGTCCTTTTCTAAGAAGGGTAAGGCTCTCCCTTGGCCAGGCTGTTACCAGAACAGCCAGTGTTCTCAGACCCAGCTCTTGGCAGGCCCCATTCACAGGAAACAATGAGAAAGGGGTAGGACGGAGCAAAAATACCAAATGGACCACAGAGCCTAGAGTGGGCCTGAGGCCAGCAAAGCCAGAGGGGATGAAGGGTGAGCAAAGGCGCAGTCATGGAGGAGGGGTCTTCTTGAGGTCAAACACTTGGAGCAGTGACAGCAAATGAACAATGTGTAGGACAACAGGAAGGAGTGGGTAGAGGGAGAGGGCCATCTGAGATGAACTGGAGGGGCTCCTTGCACTCCTTGCTAGGGACAAGTGCCAGATGTGACCATGAAGACAGCAGCTGGAGACTGCAACTGAGGAGATGGATGGACGGACCATGAAGTTCACTAGGGAACTGGGAAAGAATGGGGAGAGTGATTCAGTGCTCGGGTCCCATATGATCAGTGACAGGCACAGGTGTCTGGAGCCTCAGAGGGCACAAGCCGCAGGAGAGCTGGGGCTTTTGGAGGTGGGAGACAGAGTCCTAAGCTTCTTCCATATAAACCTTTTCTGTCATTGGGTTGCTGACCTACTGAAGCCACCGAGTGTTGTGTGACAGGCAGAGCACACAGCCTTTACCGTAAGTAGACATGAGAGTAACTCACGGGTCCGCACTTACCACCTCACAAAATGGTAATTCAGTCATAGGAAAAAGTCCATAGCTGACTGGTGGTGGTGCACACCTTTATCCCAGAACTCAGGAGGCAGAGGCAGGTGGATCTCTGTGAGTTCAAGGTCAGGGTGGTCTACAGAGTGAGTTCCAGGACAGTCAGGGTTACATGGAGAAACACTGTCAGGGGAACAAATTCCACATGGGTCCACTGTTATCATTGTCCCATCTTACAGATGAGGGAGCCGAGGCACAGAGAGGTTGAGTAACCCGCCTAACTCAGTCTGTGGTGAAGGGAGATGTGGACCCCAGGCCCAGCGTGTGAACTCAGGCAGGGCACTCTGGAGACAGAGGATAGGGGTACGCATGTAGGAACCACAGAGGTGGACAGGGTCGGAGTGTGAGGCAGACCATGTATTTGCTTAGTGTGTCCTTGAGAACTATTTGTTCACACTTTGTTTGGAGGATGGAGAACTAGTTCTGGATGTTTTTGTTTGCTATTAGAGGTCTCCCCTCCAGTGCACAGACACCCGCAAGTACACTCTGCCACACAGTCTCACACCAAGATGGTCACAGGGGTGTGGATGGCCTTGCTAGTGACAAAATGCATTTGCCCTCTTGCTCAGCCTCCATCAACTGTAGCCACCTCCCCTTCCTGGGAAAGAAGCAAAGGGGTCAGCAATGCCGGGTCACCAAGACTGCAGGCTGATCCTCACCACCTTCCTGTGGCACATATTAGGACCCCAAAGCTCTGGATTCTTCTTGTGCCAACAGCTCCTGTTGGAGCCTCCTGCTGGTTCCTGTCATCAGAGCCGGGGATCCGGGTATCTTTGATGACTACCCTTGTTTCCTCTGTGGCTCTTCTCAGGCCATCCACGTACTGCTGGCTCTTCCCCGACATCTTTCTAATATTGGTTATTTATTTTTCCTACCACTTTGCCCAGCAGTGCTGGCCTAAGCTGGAAGGCAAACATACAGGCCCACCCTGTCTCGGGACCTTTGCATGTGTTCTTCTGCTTAGCACAGCCTCCCACCGAATCATCAGGACCGCCCGACTGTGGCCATCACAGGGACTGACGACTTTAAATGGCCATTCCCCGAAAACTTCTTCGTCCCTCTGCACGGTGCTTTTCTCGCTAGTGTTCCTAACACACCACTTCTCTTATTTCTGTCTCCTCCTGAAATGTCGTATGAGGCAGATGTTTTGTTCGTTATGTCCTCTGTTCTACCCAATACCTAACTGTGCCTGCTGTGTAAGTGCTGAAATCCATTGTTTTCAAGGGATCACCGTTCCCCAGCCTGTAAGAATCCAATACATTGAAAACCTTAATCCTTGTCTGTGCCTGGCCTGGTGCCCTTCACGAATTCCCAGTGCTTGTACTGCTGTCCAAGCAACACAACCAACTTTGTCTTAGTTTCTTCTGTAGCAAAGCTTATCTTGCTCTTTTAAATTAGGACGCGTCCTTGGAGAAAGCAGAGAAAGTGTTGGGAGCCTGTCTTCTCTGGTCACTTGTTCACTTTATCTCATTCCTTCCCAGCTTGGTCCTTTATCTTTCTATTCCTGGGGCCTTTGGGGGTTGCTCCTAGTGTTTGAGGCTTCTAATTACAGGAAGCAATATACTATACTTTTGGGGCCCTTTAGAAGCCTTTCTATTGCCTAATTTGGCTCTTGAATATTCACTCGTTTATTTCAGGAGTTTAGCAGGGCAACTGGGCAGTTCTCCGGGAGTTTACCTTGTAGAGGGGTGGATAGGGGTAAGTTTCCTACAGGAATGGAGCTGTCTCAGAGGGGGTAGATGCCAAGGAAGATCAAACAGGGGCTCTTTGTGATGACATTCAGACTGCAGGGCAAGAATTGACCCTTGAGGACGGGGTTGTGGGGAGCTGTGGCAGAGGGGTCTGAGAGTAGGAAGGCCATAAGGCAGGAGCACCTTTCGCACTCTGGGGAACAGAGAGGTCAGTGTGGTTCAGGTGTGGTCTGTAAGAGAAGAGGGGATGGAGAAAAGAAAAGGGATGGGGGCGGGTGCACTCTGGCTGGAGAACTGGCTCTGTTTCCTTCACAATGGAGCATCAGAAAGCTGTAGGTAGAAGACTCACAGTTTTAGGTTTGGGATGGGCCATTCAAGTCACTATAGAGAGGACTGGGGGGCAGTATATGGTGTGAGACAAGACCAACAGGAGGCTGCGACCCAGAGGGTTGGACAGAGAAGTCACAGGAGGTCACAGTGAGTCTTACTGACCTGCAGGTCACGAGATAGGTTGGCTGGGAGGCAGTTCCACCCCAACTCCAGGCCTGGCCTTTTCTCTTTCCATCTTTGAAAGCAGGAAGCCTCAAAGATTTTTTTTTTTTCCTAGCATGAAGGAGCTGCTAGGATTTAGAGGATTCAAGACAGAGGGCATAAGGAAACTAAACTCTTAAGGCCAGGAGCCCAGTCCTTCCTGGTAATCCCTGGGCCCAGAAGCTCCCGGTTCCTGCACAACACTGCCACCACTTGGCTTGGAGTCAGACTGCAAAGACAGCACTCAAAAGTGACCCAACCTTTCTTTTTCACCCAGGTCTTTAAGTGGACAGGAAGTAACTCTTTCTTCGTGAAGGGAGACCTGGACTCACTGATGATGGGCAGTGGAAGGTGTGTGTCTCTGTCACTCTACGTCTTGGGGCGGCCTGTTTTCCTCTCCTTAGGGGGCTGCGGGTGGAGCAAGCAGGCTGAATCTTTCAGGCCGACTTCAGTGCCCTACAGCATCAGGCCCTCGGTCCATCCCCAGTGGCCCACATGCAACTAACCCTCCTCTAAGTCAAGCGAGGAGCGTGGACCAACTAGTTAGTGCCATCTTAACCTGAACCAACTCTGGGAATGTCCACATGGATGAAGTTATAGTCATGCAATGGGAAAGCCCCAGATTTCTGAGTCCCATGGGACATGGCTTGTTAGAAGATGTGCATCTAGCTAAGAATACAGCCTGTATGTCTGTGGAGGTGAGCGGGAGCGAGCGAGTTAGGAACAGAAACAGGGGGTAGCTTCACCTTGCTGTGACCTCCACACTGAAGCACACTAAACGCTTGCTTTCCCCAGTTAGCACAGCTCCATGGAGAGGCAGCGGGGCACACCAGCCATTGTTGATTCCTAATTCACTTCCTGCTTCCAGCCTAGGTTTTCTGTCAAATTTGAGGATTAGAATGCTCTAAAACAGGGTTGAGGTGATGACTGCACCACTGTCTATAGTTAAAATAATGGATTGTTTAAAAAATGCTCTGGATGCAAGAGTACATGAGGAGACCCCAACCCTGGATAAATTCGTATAGGGATGAGAACAGCTATAATGGGGATACACCGGTAATGTGGCTAAGGCTGACGATGGCAGTCATAGGTTACACCTGTGCCGAGTTCCTTTTCTGGTGTGTGTGTGCGCGTGTGACTGAAGACATCAGGTGTGTCCCACGGTCCACCTCCACCATATCTTCGGAGATCTCTCACTGACTAGCTAGACTGGCTGTCCAGCACCTCTGGGATCCATCTGCCTTTGTTCTCCCTGTACTGGGGCTGCGGATGGAGTGTGACCTGCCTAGCCTTTTATGTTAGTGCTGGAGGCAGCTTCATGCTTATGTAGCAGACAATGCACCAACTGAGCCATCTCTACTGCCCATTTCCTCTTCTCTTTAGTGGCCAGTTTGGGCTGTGGCTGGATGGAGACTTGTACCGTGGGGGAAGTTACCCCTGTGCCACCTTCAACAATGAAGTGCTGGCCCGGCAGGAGCAATTCTGCATCGAGGAGCTGGAGGCCTGGGTTCTGAGCTGACACCTCCCCGGATCAGGGATGCTCAGGTCACTTTTGGATGCTGCCCAGGTCTTGCTACACAGGGCAGCCATTCTGCCTGACTCAGGATGGTGAAGAACCCTCATGTGGACTGTGGCTCTCAGCCAGCCTCCTAATGGCCTGAAAACCCAGGGCAGGAACAGCAGAGCTGATGTGAAGGTGTAAAAGATGAAGATCTTGCTGAAGATGCACGACATCTGTCTTTATAGGATTTGACAATTCCTAGAGAACTCAGAAGACCAAAAAACAAACAAAAACAACAACAAAAAAAATCAAAACAAAATAACAACAAAAAGCTGCACTGCCACATCTCCATATCCTTCCAAACAAGTCAGGTGTGTACACACGTGCACACACACGTGCACACACACATTTCTATTTTGTATGTTTTAGAGATTACTTTTACTTGAAGAATGCTCTCAAGCCTCCGAAACCTGGGCTCAGCTACTGGAAACTAATAAAGCGTAGAAGCATTCATCATTTTACTCCTTGCCTTGCTGTCTCTCCTAGAAGCCAATGGGTGGGGTTGGATGCCACCAATGGGTCAGGTGCCCACACATCTGTTACTTGATTTCATGGGAGAGAGAGAAAAGCTACAAATGAACAATATGTCTATCTGGGCAAAGAAGCTGAACCTTTGCAGACCCCAGGGGCTCAAGGGAGGAAGGAGGTCATTTTCAGGCACAAGAGCCTTGTGAACTATGGTTCCACCATCCAGTCCTATGCAGGGAAACCTCCTGCTGGAAGGGAGCAAACTATATCTTGCTCTTTTTTTGTGAGGAAAAGTACTTGGGCCCTTGTCAATACCACCGTGTGCAGACCCAACACAGTGGTAGGACACCATGAAGTGTCTTTGCTAAGGATGCCAGACCGGGCACACAGGTGCAAGGAGATGGCAGTTGAGGAGCATGCCTCCAGTTTCAAGATAGAAACACACTCACGACAGCTTCACTGCAGCGGTTTCCCTCACCTAGCTGAAGTCACCATCACTCAACCTGTGGTCCTATTTACAGCAAGCGGACAGTTCAGTAACTTAGAGGCCAAGCCGTTAAAAATCTCCATTTTTATGCAGTCTTGAAAACAGGTACTCAACAATGAAAACAGCTTCAAAGGCATAAAATATAGTTGTCTTGTGCATAAAAGGGGTGCGTTGTTTCCCGGATATCACAGTACAAAATTAGGTACAAAATGCCATAATAAACCACAAGGATTTAAAAATAAGACTGGCAAAAATAAAGCAATAGTAGCAGAAAAATATATCATTCTTGACATCGAGTCTGGGCACACGGAGGCAGAGCCTCCGGCCATCTCCCTGAATGTCAGAGAGGCATGTGGCTAGCAGGGACGAGCTAGCACCTCCCTTGTGCGTTTATGAGCTCAGAGGCGGACACACCAAATACTCTTTCACCTATGAGTGAACAAAATAGAACCTGGCTGCCCAGAGGGGAGAGGTGGCACAGCAACCTGTTGGTGTATTCAAGCTGCGTGCTGCCAGGGCTGCCTCCTCACTTAGGGGAGTATCATGACTAAGATGTCATCTGCAGCTCCTGCCTCGGTCCCTACCGCCCACATCTCCAGCACTTCTGGTTACCACCCCCTTCGGTTCCAACTAGACTTGGTTCTTGGTGAAGCTGTGCACAGCGCAGGTGAGGGGAGCAGCATGGGTGTCTGCGCAACCTCGATGGCTCTGCACTGCTAGGAACAGCTAGGTACATGGGGGGACCCGAGCCATCTACACCATTAGGCTCACAAACACAGTCTGGAATATTCTGAAACCTGTAAACACAATGAAGCAGTGGTGGTGAAATTCCAAGTGAGAGCAGTCAGGACGGTGTCTGTGGTGTTGTCTGGACAGCTGAGCAATCCAACTCAGAAGAGGTGGAAGAAGGTTTGTCCCCGGCTGGCTGTGGTGAGTTCTTTGGGGCTGGAGTGGTTTCAAGTACAAAGGAGTTGATCTTGTCTGGAGCCACATCAGACTCAGGGAGCAATTTGGTGTGAGGAACCCTCCAACCCTAGCACCTCCTATAGCAGGCAGGGGGTTAGACTAGGAGACGGGGCGGAGCGGCTGGTCAGTGGTAGAGGACTTGCCTGGCATGCCTCAGCTCCTCTCAACAAAGAGCTGTCCGATGCTCCCCCAGCCTAGCACTTAGCAGGGATGGAAGGGGAAGGTGGCTCTCTCTCCTGGGAGGAGCAGGGTGAGGGGCGCTCTCAGGGGGTCTAAGATTTTGTTTATTTCAACTTGAATTCCAATTTGTGCCCTTGTCTCAATTTATAAATTAAAAACAAAAGGCAATCATTTGTCCTAAGAGTTCAGAATAGATGGAAGAGTTATCCTGAGAAAACAGGTAGCAAAAGGAGAAAGGCTTCAATAATGCTAAAAACACACATGCTAATGATTTTCATAGTAGGTGCTTAGTCACTGTTCTATTGCTGTCAAGAGATGCCATAACCAAAACGACTCTTATAAAAGAAAGCAGCTAGTGGGGGCTTGCTTACAGTTTTAGACGCTTAGTCCACTATCATCATGGTGGGGAGCATGGCAGCGGCTGAGAGCTACATCCTGACCCACAGGCAGAGAGATTGGACCTCCAAGGCCACCCCCAGTGACACACCTCCTCCAACAAGGCCACCCCTCTTGATCCTTATAATCCTTTCAAACTGTTCTTCTCCCTGGGGACTAAGCACTCAATTATACGAGATTATGGAGGCCGTTCTCATCCAACAGGAAGCATAGTAAACTCATGCTACTATTACCACTTTTCGTTTTGAATAAAATGACTTACCCTTCAGCATGTGCGTACACTCAAAACACTAAATAAAAATCACTAGTAGATTCTGATTATATTTCCTAACTTAATTGTGGAGAGAGGAAGAGGCTTGCGTAAAGAACTGATGGCAGGAATTCACTTAAAATTTTAGTTGTGTTTTGGCTTTGGATGCTTCTCGGTGGCAATCTGGATCATCATTCTGCCATTTCAGAGGAGTTATAAGTGGGGCCATGATGTCACCATCCTATTAAAGAGAGAGAGGAAATCAGGGCACAGAGAAGAGCCAGTTCCCATCACTGTATTTTGGGGTGCACCTCAGGCACACATAACCTTGCCCTGCACATAGATTGCTAGAGAAATCCAAAGTTGTATGTACTCTGTGAGAACACCACGGCTGAGACGCGGCTCACTGCTGCCCAGAATTGGCAGAGTTCGTACACCTTCATGGGACTCTTGGAGACACAGAAGCTACACTGGATTCTTGCTTCTCTTTTCCCTACTCCCCAATAAAAACAAATGACCCAGGTCTGCAAACAGGGGACAGGGAGGATGGGGACAAATGACAACTGGGACACTGGGACCAGGACTACTTGCTGAATTTGAATCTTTCTCTTTAAATAAACCTCTTTGGCCCTATCATCATAGGCTCCAGTCAAATGCACCACCCTTCCACCAAGGGGGAGGCTGCCTCAGATTAACGCAATGACCCAACAGGAGGCCACTAGGTTCTCTAACCCACCTGCCTCCTGGAACACTGCTCTTTGCCCGTTTACTCTCAGGTACTTATCCCCTCTTCGTGCTCCACTCAGACGTGGCAGCTGCTCTTCTCAGAGGCCTTGGCTAGCTCTTGTGCCCAGTGGTTTCTCAGGTGACAGACTGAGGTGAGGAGAGCAGAGAAGCCTGGGTATTCCCTCTGGCGTGGTTTTCAGGGGCTGTGATCATTCTATGGTTCCAGCTCCTGGAAGGGGCCACAGCTCCTGACCTCTCCGAGAAGACAGTGACATCATCCGGGCATTGTCTCGCTGTCTGCCATTTGTTCATTTAGCTCTACCAAACCTTTGGATATCTCCCAATGCTAAATGTCTTCCGCTGAACACACTGGGTCTGGCTAGACAGAGCTTTTGTGAGCTGCTACTGCTCATCCCAGAAGCAGCAGTATTTGTAAAATCCCTATCTCCATCATACTTCCTTCTGCTTCCAACTCTAGCAAATATTAAAAATGTGCATTTAAAAGATTTCACTTGCCTGGCGGTGGTGGCGCACGCCTTTAATCCCAGCACTTGGTAGGCAGAGGCAGGCGGATCTCTGTGAGCTCGAGACCAGCCTAGTCTACAGAGCTAGTTCCAGGACAGGCTCCAAAACCATAGAGAAACCCTGTCTCGAAAAACCAAAAAATAAAATAGAATGACTTAAAAAAAAAAAAAAAAAAAGATTTCATTCAATGGCTCCAGGCTGCCCCTTGCACACAGGATGGCAGAAAATCGCTCACGCTCAACAATGCTCCTGAAAGGGCGCATGTTCTCTGTGACCTTTCAGCTATTCCCATGTTGCTTCTGTTTCAGTGCCTCCCTATCATCAGCCTCTGATGCCAGCACTGAAAGAGCCGCTGAGATTTCTCTTCTGGGGCTGGCCTGCAAGCTTTCCTGAGGCAGGCTTTTCTCATCTAACCAAACACTAATATGCTACACAACTGCTGTTTACTTTTGTGTTTGTGGTCCACACCTAGAGACCCAGAGTACTAAGGAACTATGTCTTAGGGACTGCATCATCCTGGTACTGAACACAGGGCCTGACAAGAAACAAACCAAGCAAACTCATTTGATGAGTTAATATACCTAGGTTTAAGGTACTTAACACACACACTGGTGTTTTTATTTCCCGTTTCCTTAAAAAAGAAAAAAGTGTGTGTGGTATGCGTATATGTGTGTGGTACATGTGTATGTGTGTTATCTGTAATATATGTGTATCGTGTATATGTATCATGTATACACATGCATGGTGTGTGTATGTGTGTGTGTACTGTATAGGTCTGTGTATGCATGTGTATTGTGTGTTTGCAGGTGATCTTGACCATGAGGCACACGTGGAAGCCAGAGGGTAACATTGGTGCCTTCTTCAATCACTTCTCCACCCCTTTTTCCCCCACATTTTTTATTTTATGTGTATGCATGCATATCTATGCACCACTTGCATATCTGGTACCCACGGAGACCAGAAGAGGGCATCAGATCTTCTGGAACTGGAGTTACAGCTGGTTGTCAGCCGCCGTGTGCGTGCTGGGAATTGAGCCCAGGTCTTCTGGAAGAGTAGCCAGTGCTCTTAACTGCTGAGCCATCTCTCCAGCCCCATATTGCTACAATTTAAATGAGAACCTCTCAGTGAATAAAAGGATCACTTTTGGATTTTCCTTAAAAATCAAAAAATATGCCAGGTCCCTATGTAGCTGTATATCTGTACTTCCCAAGCTTGGGAGGTGAAGGAGGAGGATCAGGAATTCGAGGTCATTCTTAGCCATATAGCAAATCTGAGACCAACCTGAACTACATACGACCTGTCTCACCCCAGCTCCCAGATTCCTTTCTTTTTTAATGTTCAAGGGCATGAATAGAGTCACTCACCTGCGGTTTGGTGAAGTCTTTGTCCGCACACCACTGAATGAAGTGCTGCCGAGCAGCATGTAGGCTCTTTCTGTCTTTCTTCTTACAGTATACTCGGATGAGCTGCTCTGCGAATTTCTGTGGCAGAAGCTGCGACACCTTTTTTACAAAAAAAAAAAAAAAAAAAAAAAAAAAAAAAAAAAGATCTTGCTTGAGTTCTCACTTCCAAAACCAGCTGCCTCCCAGGGTCTGGGGGATTTTTAATGTTGGGCTAAAGCACTGCATTGCTTTTCTATTTTATCCCAATTATCATCCGACGGGGAAATGATTATTTCCTGCAAAGTGCCTCAGAATTTTACGCTAATTACTAAAAGATTGACAGGACGTAACTGTGCAGAGAGTACAGACTCCCATCTAAGATGTGCAGACAGGCACAGTGGGCTTGTATCACCTCAGCTGCCTGGCTTCAAACCAAACACTGCACCGAGCTCCAGCTCTAGCTGTCTCTACCCCGCCTTCTCATTAGGTTGCCCAGGCCGTCCCTGAACTCACTTCCTAGTACTGGCAGGTCTTGAACCTGTGATCCTGTAGTTTCAGGCTTTGGGGACTAAAGGCTTATACTACTACATCCAGATATCCATCTATCTATTTGTATCTATTTCCTTACTTTCTTGTTTTGAGAAAGGATCTCACTATAGTTACCCTGGGTGGCCTGGAACTCACTCACTATATAGACCAGGCTGCCTCAGACTCATAAAGGTTCACCTGATTCTGCCTCTGCCTCTGGAGTGCTGGGATTAAAGGTGTGTGCCACTGTGCCCAGTGTGATATATTTTAAATTGTTGTTTTGCTTTATTTTGAGACAGTCTCATGTACCCCAGGCTGGCCTTTAACTCCCGATCTGTCTGCATCTCCTCTGCTTCCCAAATGTGGGACTCCAAGTGTGCACCAGCACACCTGGCTTATGCTTTACTTTATTTTTTGGTTTTTCGAGACAGGGTTTCTCTGTGGTTTTGGAGCCTGTCCTGGAACTAGCCCTTGTAGACCAGGCTGATCTCGAACTCACAGAGATCCGCCTGCCTCTGCCTCCCAAGTGCTGGGATTAAAGGCGTGCGCCACCACCGCCTGGCTTGCTTTACTTTAAAAACATTAGATTTATTAACTTCATTCCGTATGTGTGTATGTTTTATCTGCTTGTATGCACACACACTATGTACATGCTAGGAATCACACTGGTGTCTTCAGCAAAAGCTACAGTGCTCTTAATCACTGAACCATCTCTCTAGCCCCGCCTTCTCTCGTTTTTTTTGTTTTTAAAGCTGGAAATAGATTTTTCTCTCATACAATACATCTTGACCAGTTTCCCCTCCCTCCAGTCTTCCGAGTTCCCCCAGCCTCCCCTTTCTCCTGGATCCACATCCCCTCCATCTCCCACCAGAAAAGAGCAGGCCTCAAAGAGACAACAACTAAACATGACAAAATAAAACACAATAAAAAAGGCAAAAGCCCTCACACCAGAGCTGGACAAGGCCACCCAACAGGAGGAAGAGGGTCCCAAGAGCAAGTGAGTCAGAGGCACACCCACTCCTCCAGTGA